AGCTGCCGAATACCAAAGGAGGCCTCCTCAGACTATCAAAGAGCGAGTCGTACACACTTGGAATTTCTTGCGAGACAAATTCGATCTGACTGGAGATTGGTTCTGGTACGGCTACTCCGGTCTCCGCATTCTCGACGTTGTACTGCAAACTATCCACCTCGTCGAACTCGGCGGCCGATCCCTTACAGGAGAGGAAATTTATGCGAGTGAACGTATAGCTATCGTGACTCAGGCAACTTTAATTATGTTGGTACTCGTTGTTGGTCCGATCACGATTATACTCAACAACCGAGTCTGGGCTGCTCTCTTTGATGCCATCACGGCCTTCAGCTTCACGGCTGCTTATCTTATCATATCTGGTCACATACTTCTACCCGGTACTTGGCCAGCCTTGCACTTCCAAACCTTCATCTCTTTTCTGTCGACCATTTTACCAGCCGCACTGTCACTAGATAACATGATTGGCGTAGATCGCTACTTGCTTGAGATCGCCAAGAATCCCGAGCTAACCCGTGTCCAGAGGCGCACATCTCTCCGTTACTATGTTATCGCTCTCATCTCGTGGACCATTGGTATCAGTGGCTTCGTCTATGTGGCGATAACACAGTTCAAAGGTGACTGTAACGAGCTCATCCCCAACTTCGACTCTGAGTGTCTGGTTCCGGTATATCCAATCCTAGATTCCCAATCTTGTGATTGTCGGATGGCATCAGTATACCTTGAGGGCGATTGCGTGCAGGATGATATGAAACGTTTGTCACAATACAACAGGATCGAGTATCTAAGGATATCGGATCATGACCCGACCCCCTCTACCACGTGTACTAACCAGCCACAGGTTCTTTTCGATACATTATCTGCACTGGGAGAGCTCATCGTTTTGAGTCTGGTAGCAGTTCCAATTGAAACACTTAACTTAACCAGAATGGAGACACTCGAGATCCTCGGCGTCACTGCAACGAACTTGGCAACGATTCCGGATGACGTGCATCTGCGGTTGCCTTCTATCCGCTCCTTTGAGCTAGATCTCTCCCAGATACAAGACCTACCATTCGACTCGCTCAAACAAATGCGCCATCTCGAATATATTGGTCTAGCTGGAAACCCTATCTGTTACGGTACGGAATTCCCCGAATGGACGGCTGGCATCGTGGACTGCGGCCTGGCACATGATGGCTCTTGTGAGGTGGACGCATCCCTCATGGGCTTGTCAGAAACGGTCAATGGTTACTGCAAGAAATGGGTCGCTGGTGGCGCCTCTACTGAATGTCTACCGGTTTGCGAGACCACCTTCCAAACTTATTCTGTAGCGGACATCGATGGCAGTAGCACAATGAGCATTGAAGAGAACACAGCACTTCTCCGAGTGTTCGGTCTCTTGCCGGATGGAGCGGAAGCGACCACTACTTTTCACCATTGTATCATGAAAGCCTGTGGGCAAGAACCTTCGGATGAAATTCCGTTTTCCAT